TCAGTCTATGAGTGCTTATCCTCATACACTTTGCCAGAACACCAGGCTTGGTGGGAGGTGGTGAAGGAAGAATGTATTCTAACGGCAGACACAAAGTAGGGAGAAAGTGAAAGGGATCTGGGAACAGCTATACTCTTTATAGACAGGCAGCCAGGGACCTATGCCCTCCTGCTAGGCTCTACCTTTTCTGGTGTTCATCACCTCCTAAAACAGAACGAACCAAATATTAGTCCCGCATTTCACATGCAGCTGTGGGATACATTTATGACTCAAACAATTGAAGCCAGCTTGGTGTCTCCTAAAAATGCCAGTAATTACAAACTAGGGTTTTACACTGTCAAGGAAGAAAGTATGCCATGGGAATTTTTTGTGATCTCTTCAAGGACAGAGAGTTGGAGAACAATCTAAATCTAAACTTCAGAACCATCACTGAGTTCAAAGTTTTGAAAACCAGAGGCAGAAGGTGTCATAAGACATTTTTACCAGCTGTACTGACCCAAAGGCACTGGAATCTCCATAGTAGAGGAAAAAAATGATCTAAGATAACTTTTCTTGATTGTGAGGTTATTAATCAAATATCTGCATCAGCAAGGTTTGGGGTCTGTTGGTGGTGGTAGTGTTACTTTTCTTTTGATGGATCTGAGGCTTTGAACTCTAGGCTAGGGCTCTGTCCCTGAGCTCCTTTTCTCAAGGTGAGCACTGTATGACTTGAACCATCATACCACCATATGGCTTCTCTGAGTTGTTTATTGGAGATAAGAGTCTCATGGACTTTCCTGCCCAGGCTGGCTTTGAACTGCAATCCTCAGATCTCAGACTCCTCAGTAGCTTGGATTATAGGCATAAGCCACAGTCACTGGGCTAACCTATCAAATTAACAACACATTTGTTGTACAGCTTGCCTACACACACACACACACACACACACACACACACACACATACACACACACATACACACACACATGCACACACACAGTATCTCCTTGCCTTGTCTGTCAATGCAAAGGAAACTTTGAATTTCTTGATCATGCCCCTATGATCATACCCCTGATTATTGAGAATATTTGACTGTGTGTGTGGGAGGATCATGAATATTACTGATCCTTTACTGCTCTAAGAAAAGGAGATCTCCTAGAAAGTCTGGATTTGGGAGTGTCATGGCTCAAGCCTAGTCAACCAAAAAGCTTGTGACCTCTTCTCAACCAAGAACTGGAGCCCTGTGGCATGACTCTGCCATCTGTGCTATTTGGTAGGCTTGAGTATGGAAGGATCACAATTCTAGGCCACACTAGGCAAAATAGTTTGTGACAAACTCCAACTCAACTTAAGGAGATGAGTGTGGTGGCAGGTACCTGTTATCCTAGCTGTGGGCAAGAAGAAGTGTAAGTTAAGAGGAGCACAGTCTAGTCAGTCTAGGCATGGACGCTGGTTAAAATGTGAAAAAAAAAAAAAAGAGCAAGGCCTGATCGCGAAATAATCGTTGCAAGAAGGCTAGAGAACCTTGATCAGGAAATGCAAGGTCCTGATTTCAAAACCCTATCCTGACAAAACAGAAAGAAAAGGAAAAAGAAAAAGAGAAAAACAGTCAAAGGAAAAGTGAAAAAATAAAGTGAAAAGAGAGATAGGCTCTACGTCTTAGGCAATAGAAGGTGATTAAAATGTCCACCAAGTTGCATAGTTGGCAAATGATTATTTGAATCGTCTGTGTGTCCGGTTAAAAATCAAAGATGACAATGGAAAGAAATGTTATTTAGTGGATAATTTGTCACTTTTTAGTGTTCATAGGTCAAAAGTTTTGACTTCCCAAATTCAAGAGAGAAAATAGCCTGCCCTAATTATAATATTTTTCTGCTCTGGGTTCGGCAGTTCTAAATGCCAAACAATGCTTTTAAAAATAGGGACATTTTCTCTGGCCTATAAACAGCTGAAAGCTACTTATGCTTAGGAGAAAAAGCTGAGCCTGAGCAGGAAAAACAAAGGAACTTTTTAAGACAATTGTAATCCATACCTTTCTTAGTTTATCAATCTCTTAACTACCAAAAGTGAGAGGATCATCTTTTGAGTAGAACTGAGAAAAGTCCCTGCTAATGTGACACAAACAAAAGAATAGGAGACTGAAGGCTCTCCTGGGTTCTCCTATCCTGTCTTTCTATCCACAAGGGGGTAGAGTAAAAGTTCCAGAAAGTCTGTCTTGGATTTGGTAATGAACAGCTTCTAGTGGTGGGCTGAGACCAGAGGCAGTTTGGGCCAAGGCAAAGAATTACCATTCATCATGCATCTTGAACTGCAAGCAGGCAATTAATGTTACAGTCCTGAAAAAACCATGGAGAGAACCTCTGTTTGCCTTGGCAACCAGGGAAACTACTTCCCAAACTGGCGAAGAGAATGGGAAGAGCCAAGGTGCTCAATAGGTAGGCAGCTTTCCAATGGGGTCATCTCAAGGAACTCATTTAACTGAGTAAGCTGTATTCTTATTTTAAAGATAAGCACATATTCTTGCTCTGCTTCTCCAGGTGCTAACCTCTGCATCACGACACCTTATAATACTGAATTACTTCTGCAGTGTAAATTGTCTGTGTAAATGGGATGTTTTGCCCTAATATGTGGCACTTGGGGAAAGCCCTTATATCTTAACCATCATTTGTTTCTTTACATCTTGGCACAAATGGGGTATTTGAAGAGTTAAGGCCAAAGCATTGTACTGTCAAGAGTCATATCAATGAAACATCCCAAGAGAGGTACCATGATCACTACAATGATTGAAGGAACAAAGGAATGGGGCAAGATGGGGATGGTTTTGCTATACAATTGTATAGAAATGGCAAACATAAGTGATCCGTGATGGGACACCGGTCTGTGGGAAGGCTCTTGTTCAATTTTTACAATCACCTAGAGTAATCTGTATTAGTGAAATCTCACAACCAGATACAAGTAGGGTGAATGATCTATTATGGTTACTTGTCCATGCTAAGAGTAAGAAGAGAGAGTGGCTAGTGGACCTGGAGGAAAAGGCTGGAATATCCTCAGCCCTCTGACTGCCATGGCCAGTACAGTCTGGGAGTGATCTGGGGAGGAAAAAGAAAGCAATATGGGTAGGCAAGTACCGTGTAACCCGAAATGGGCAGTCATGTTATGTAACTTTACAATATACCTACCAGGAGAGCTTGCCTATTTTCTTCTATTAACCAGGTGGAATTTTGAGTCCTGATAAGTTTCCTATTTTTTTTTTTCATGGTCAACAATGTAAGTAATTGTGAGAATAAGATAAGAATCCAAATTTACTGAACTTCAATTATGAAGGAGTCCTCCTAGGGGAACCAAACTTGTCAATAAACTTGTAGGCTACGTTGTAAGGAATTGTGTTTATCCACATTGGAGGGCACAACAAATTCTGTAATTGGTGGAGATCCATAGAGTATTTTTCTCCTGTAGGATAAACAAGCAACCCTTCTCCTCCAACTGTGCTGCTTCACTGCGATTCTGATAAAACTCAGCAACAGGAACACAAGTATGCTATTTTCAACTGAGCCATAAAAGTATTTTACATCCTAGTGACTGAGAGACATCACAGTGAAGTGCTTTTTTAAAACTTCCATTCTCACAATATAGTAAAATGATGAGAATACTGCATCTTATTCTGCTCTAATCCTGAGAACGTTGCAGGAATTCTTTCTTTCAAATAGCCTGAAAGGTCAAGTGTATAGACCTTGAGAAAACCATTGCTATTATATATTTTTTAAAGCCATATATACATACATACATATAATACATATATATACATACATACACATATATACATATATATGTATATATGTATATATATTTAAGCCACATATACATACATACATATATACATATATGTATGTATGTATATGTGGCTTAAACTCAGGGCCAAGGTGCTGTCCTTTAGCTTTTTCACTCAAGGCTGGCACACTAACACTTGAGCCACACCTCTACTTCTCGCTTTTTGGTTGGTTACTTGAACACAAGAGCTTCTGAGATTTTTTTTGTCTGTGCTGGCTTTGAACCATGATTTTCAGATCTCACCCTCTTGAAGTAGCTAGAACTACATCTTTGCATATACATATATGCACATATGTGCATATATGTGCATATACATATAATGGTCTTAAAATAATGTACTACACAATGTCGGTGATAATTGTGTATGAAAAATGGTATAGAAGTATAAAGCTAAATAAAGATTTTTTTTCAAAATAAGAATTTCATAAACCAACTTTCAACATTTCATGAGGACACTAAATTAATGATGAAACATAGAAACCTACATGTTTCTCAAGAAATAACACTAAGATATTAGCAGTGGTGATTTTCTCATATTTTGCACTTGCATTTTACTTTTGTATTTCACATTGAACGAGATGTTGCTAAATCAATAAATTGTGAATGTATTTGAAGAGTATCTTCTTAGAATTTAGACATTTGACCTTATTAGTTCTAAGCAGTGTTTTTATTTGTCTTGATTTCATTCTAATAATACAATTTATTTCTTTGATACTTCAAATGTATTTGTGAGTTCGAGAGTAATTTATCTTTGACTTCAAAGCCTCTGAGCTATTTGTCTATTTACTCATCCTGTAGAAGAATTGGGGTCTGTGATAAATTGTAGGATTTTCTCACTTCTAGGGTTTTCCTGGGTGGATGAGTATGTGTTATGATTTATACTTTAATTTTGTATTCAGTATACGTTTGAAAGTATATTTTCACAAGTTGTTTTTTATGCATTATCAATCATTATCAATTTTTTTTCTGCAAAGCTATCCATGAATGTCTACGATTACGGTCTTTCTCAGTGTTGATATCACAGATACAGGGCAGTTAAATGTCAACAGAAAACAGAAAATTATCTGAGTGGGCAGTTGATATATGCACATGGGTGCTGGTGCATGTGGATTGGGGGGTGTCTGTATACACATATTCACTGCTGAATAAGCTCTCTGCCTGAAAGCCATTTTTCATTTTTATTTCCTCCTGTAGCTATTATAAAAACTGCCCTTCCCAATATGGACAGAGAAGCTAAGGAGGAGTACCTGGTCGTGATCCAAGCCAAAGATATGGGTGGACACTCTGGTGGCCTCTCTGGGACCACCACATTGACAGTCACCCTCACCGATGTGAATGACAATCCTCCAAAATTTGCACAGAGTAAGTGAATTGACATTACTACATGAGTAGCAAATGGGTTTACAATTTTCTGTACCATTCCAAAACCTTCTAGCAACAGTTGAGTACTTATTGCTCCTATAGGTAAGAATAATCCATTATTCTGTCTACACATTTATCTTTCATTTTAAGGATTTGAAAGCCAGGAGAATATTTGCAAATATCAAGTGGATACTGAGAAATACAGGCACTGGTGGCTCATGCCTGTAATCCTAGCTATAAAGAAGCTGAGATTGTGGTTCAAAACCATATTGGGCAGAAAAGTCTGTGAGACTCATATCTCTAACCAACCACCAGAAAATCAGTAGTAGAGTTGTAGCTCAAAGTTGTGAACTGCTAGCCTTGAGCAAAGAAACTTAGGGACTGTGCCCCAGCCCAGAGTTCAAGCCCCACAACTGAGAGAAAAAAAACAACAACAGAAGAAAGAGTCTGATCTGAAGGACTTTGAGAGTATGATAACAATGCAGCTCAGCTATTGATTCATTATTAACTCTCTGCATAAATCTCTGGCGTCTTATTTGGAGAATCCAACAATTTGGCCAATTTGGCATAAAATACATACCTGCTCCTCCTACCTCTGGGCCAGACAGTGGTGAAAATGGATTCAAACTCTTATCGTGATGAGGTTGTCCTCTATGACTTGAAAACATCTACATTTGCTAGGCATTCATTATCCATGTATCTCCAAGACAAGGATGTTTGACAAACTTTCATATGCTCTCCTAAAATGCTTTTACATTTGAGCCTTCAAGTAACATGATGTAAACAGGTGACTCCACAAGGTCTTTCTGACATGAGGACCGTTGAATTGAGCTATGAAAGATGAATGGAATTAGCTATAGCAAAGGGAAAGCAAAGGCATTTCATCCAAAGAGGATGATCCTAAGCTCTTTGTTCAGGTATTCACTCCTGAAAAGATTGTACTTCTGGGCTGGGAAGGTGGCTCAGTGGTAGAGAGCTTGCCTTGCATGCATGAGACCCTGGGTTCAATTCCTCAGCATCACGTAAGCAGAAAAAGCCAGAAGTGGCACTCTGGCTCAAGTGGTAGAGTGCTAGCCTTGAGCTGAAGTGCTGAGGGACAGCGTCCAGGCCTAGAGTTCAGGCCCCATGACCGGAAAAAAAAGACTGTATTTCTTTAAATTAGTTTTTTAAAATTAATATCCTCTAGGTAGTGCTGATATAAGCAGCAAGATAAGTTTTAAGGCTCAATAGTACTCCATTCTTTGTATACATGTATATACATATGTATCAATAGATGTGTATGTATGTATATATATGTACATATATACATATATATATACATTTCATAACTTCTTTACCCAGTTCTCTATTACTAAACTCATTGATAATTGCATGGATTCTATTTCTTGGCTATTGTGAATAATGTTTCATTGAACAATGCAAATATCTTTCTGAGGTATGTCAAAATATCATTGTATCCCTGAAACCTATATAGTATGTTTATATGCACTGTATAAGATCTTGTATGGGGATAGCTAAGCACAGAAGGAGAGGAACTGATTGTAAGAGAGTATTGGATCATTTAGGCAGAACTCTGTTGTATTCGTATATGTAAAATACCATAATCTCCATCTTATGGTCATTGGGAATCCAGGAAAATATTTTAAGTTTTAAGCAGAGTGATTGAATTTGTACCAGTGAAGTAAGAGGGAATAAAAATCAGCCTACTAATCTTTACATTATACCTCATTTGGTAGTTATTTGTAAACATTCAAGTTAAAGATATCTTTCCCTGGCAAGCCAAGAAGGTAATTGCAGAAATAGAATAAAATACTGGTTTGGTAAATGCTTTGAAATTCAGCATGGCCAACACTTAAGGATTGATTGTATTTTTTTAAATAAATAAAGTAGGTGATCATATTTACAATATTAGATTAGATGCCTCTTGTGCTTTTTTTTTTTTACTGGAATAGAAAGGACCAAATAGAACTAGTCTTAAAAAGAGGGGAAAAGACAGGGGATATAGGAGAGGAGGGGCTGACCACCCAGAAGAACTGAAAGGGAGACATTTGATGTAACTTGAGAATTTACCTGTAGGAATTTCAAGGCAGAAAGAATAGAGAAGAAGTATTCATACAAGTCAATGCACATTCTACAAAATTAAGGGAATGGGAGGAAGGGGTAGAGATGGGAGGGATGAGGGGGAATAATGAAAAGGGTGACATTGATTAAGATTCATGATATTCATATACTACGTTGTTAAATGGCAATGTCTTTGTAGAACTACTTAAAGATAAAAATGAAATTTTGAAAGGAAGAACAGCGTTTATAACTGCAAAATCATAAATTGAACAATAATTCAACCCTTTTTTCACAAAATTATTGAAAGAGCATAATTTCATATATCCTTTTCCCTTAATCGTTATATCTTTCCCAATTGCCATTACAACTAATGCAGTAATACACAATCCTTCTTTCTCAGAAAAAGTATTATATCTGCTCAAAAGTGAGAGATAATTTCCAAAGTATTTCTTTCTTTAATCTAATAACTATTAGTTTTGATCACATTGATGCAGATGAAGAGAAAGAACAGGATAACATTGGGTAGGAAATGTCCCACTGTTTGGTATTTCAAAGCTAGCTGAGGTAGGATTGGTACCAGAGTGAGACTCCAAAATGGGCTTATTTACTTAATAAATGTACCTAGAAGGCAGTCTCCAATGTTTTCAGAAATAAAATGTTTGAAGAACATTCAAACAATGCATCAATTATGAGAGATTTGGGAGAAATCTGCCTAAAACCATGAATTTAGGTGCTTACCTTAGGGCAAAACTTTCTAGAAAACGCTTTTGTTCCCCAGCTCTTTGACTACAGAATTCTAGGAGATTTCATTTCCCAAACATTAAGTAAAAAAGGTGCTCCTTGTTGGAAAATACTTCTGTCCTTAGCTAAACCAATCTTGTTACATTCTGTAAAATAAAAATGACTACATCCAAGGCCTCCAGTGATTGAGTTCAAACAAGAATTAAGTGATATTCTCCAGGTTCAATTTTTCCTTTTGTACTTACAGTTCATTAAATGCTTACTTTCCCCTTGTAATTGCAAGAGAATAAAATGACCTGTTTTTTTGAGTTTGGATTCACCAGAATAGATAGTGAGATTTTTTTTTTAAAAAATTAAGCATAAATTATTTACATTTCCCAAGGAACACCAGAGGAAGGGGGGGGGAGAAAAAGAGAAAGAGGGAGAGAAAGAGAGAGGGGGAGGGGAGAAAGAAATACAAGTACATGATCCAATCTTCTACCACACTGTGGGGGCATAGCACTTAATCAAACTGAGGAAAACATGGAGGATTAGAAAGAAGTAAAAGAAAAGAAATAACTCCCAATTATTCTACTAGAGAAAGGAGAACTCCCAGATTTTATGTACTAATGCTTGGGCATGTTTGATATCTGCTTGGCCTGCCAAGCAATGGGTAAAATCACATGTGAATAGCAGAGCTAGCCTTTAGGCAAAGCGAAGTTGTAGTACGCCTGAATAAAGGTAGGACAGATAAATGCCAAAGTAGTAATGACCGGAGATTACAGTCTGAGCACCACCAGCTTCCAGTACACCAGTAAAAATGAGTGGCACATCACAACCAAATGATTTGAATAAAAATAGGACAAATGCCACTAATTAGACACGTTTTACTGTCCCCAGAGGAGAAGGAAAATACACAGTAATTGTATTTTGCCTAGGGAGTTTTCAAGGTAGCGATGTTCATCTTCAGAGCAACGGGAACCTTTAGTAACAAGAAGAGTGTTTCATGTGTCTGAAGTGCTTGCTTCTGGGCACAGCAGACATGTAGTAATTGGATTTTATCAAAACTGGTCTGAAAGTCTGTAAATTTAAAAGTAAAGCTCAAAAGTGACTTTCAGTATGCTACACATCGCATCTTTTGGTGCTGAAATTAGCCTAATATTTTATGTTGGGCAACAGTGAATATCCCCATGGGCAGTCTGTGTAGATTATACAGCAAACTGAAAACATTCAGAGGGACTCACTCATAAAGCCACTGATAAAGCCATGCCAAATATGTTCTTGGTAATGTAAGGTTGTGGAAGTTCCTTATCTCAGAAGAATCTTGATGAGCGTTCACTTCTTGGGGGGAATATTTCTCTCTGATTTATTTAAAGGATGGCACATTGCACAAGAGAAATCAGTATTTCTGTCTTTTCTCTCACTGTCTTGGTAGTGTCTATAGGAATGCCCAGCCACAAGGGAGGTGGCCTGTAAGTCTTTATCACTCCAACGAGTGAATGTTTCTCCCCTTTCCAAAGGTCTGTATCACTTTTCGGTACCCGAGGATGTGGTTCTTGGCACTGCCATCGGAAGGGTCAAGGCCAACGATCAGGACATTGGGGAAAATGCACAATCCTCATATGACATTATCGATGGAGATGGAACAGCGCTCTTCGAGATCACGTCCGATGCCCAGGCCCAGGATGGCATAATACGATTAAGAAAGGTAAACTGAATAAGATTTAATTCATTTTCAAAATTATCTTTGAAACTTGGCTTTCGAAGTGTAGATGAGTAAATGGACCAAATCTTAGAGCTAGTAGACATTTAGATTTTCCTCTTAGCATCTCTACTCCCTTCAGTTGAACTCCACAGTGCCATGGGAACACCAGTAGATAATTACCATGATGAGCTGGCCTCTCATCTGATATTTACCTTCTTAGGTGATGTTCTCTAAGACACAGAAGTCACTCAGGTTTTGTACAAGGCCATGTAGAAAAGGCCATAACCTTAAGGGACTCCTCAACCAACGGAGACCTAAAGTGGATTGCCTGCTGTTTGTATTATATCAGGGAACAGCTCCTAGGTACATGGCTTATGGGACAAGTTCAATACCTCTTAGTCTTTCCTTATATCATTCTGATTTCTCCTTTCCTGCTTCCTAAAATCTCTCCCCAGAATGCACAGACATTTCCTCAAGTTCTGTTGGGCTGTTTTTGTTTTTCTCGTACTGGGCCTTGAACTCAAGGCCTATTGCTCTTGTTTCTTTTTTACTCAAAGTTTGGCAAGCTAACACTTGAGACACACCTTCACATTTGCCTCCTTTTATTCTGGTTAATTGGAGACTAAGAGTGTCTCAGACTTTCCTGTCTGGACTGACCATCTTTAAAGCTCAGCCTCCTAAGTAGCTAGGATGATAAGCCTGAGCTCTAGAGATATTAATCATGGAAAGCTGGGATTTTCTGGATATATTTTAGTGAAACAATAATGTTAGGAATCAATGCTGGAGAAAATAGTGGCATTTATTTGAACTTTGAGCAAGATTATCTTCATATCAGGATCCTGGCTGCAGTTCAGAATGAAGAGTTGCAAAATATTTTAAAACCCCCATTTGAAAGAACTTTGCTGTGTAATTATACTTGAGTCAATTACTGAAGAACTCAGCATCACATTTTCTTCGGCTAATAACCCCTAATATCACTTTTATTGTTTTTATTAACTGCTATCTTTGGCTGCCATAAGGTGTTTTTCTAAACTGAAACAATTAGCTCTTTGCTGTGTTTTTATTCCCTGTGATTCCTAAACTTGGAAACATATGCTGTGTGCAGTGTTACCGAGAAACATGTGAATTTACTTTAGAGAATAAGAATTCATATTTCTACAATTTATAGGCCTACTGTCTATGCCTAATAGAGTACTAAGGACACTGATGTGTTTGCATATGCTCCATTATGTCAAACTTATAAATGAAAAGATATTCCGCGCAAGGAAGCTTCCTGGTCTGGCGCTATTTTTAAAGCAAATCGAGGGATGAACTGTGGGGGTCCCACTTCTCTTTCCAGGTGCAGGCTGGTCCTCAGCCCTTTTTTTTTAGAGAGAGAGTTTACAGAAATTGATCCCTAGGGAAAAGGCCCACAAAATCAACAGAGACTGGGAATGCGAGATGTTGAGTAGAGTGTCCAGGGTATCTAGCTGTAACTGTAAGCTGCAATTATATACTGAGGCACATTGTGACCACAAAAGACTACTATATAGCAAGAGAGATTTATAGTATTCCCCTTTCCATCAAAAGTTGATGTTAATGTGGCAATAGAACTGTGAATTAGCTTGATGGAATCTACAGTATTCAAATGTATCAAAACCTCTTATCATTCCCTCATACATATATACAATTTTGCACAGCAAAATAAAACTTAAACATTCAAATATAACCTATTATATAGAGCAGTGTTTGGGAGGAACTTGAATTCTGCAAAATTGTCACAGTAGCAGTGAGTGGCAGTTTGGAAATACACTTGCATCGAATCATCTATTCGTGGAGCTAGATGTGTGCACTCAATTCAGAATCAACATGAAAGCAAGTGTTTGCATTGTTCATCAGAAAGGATTTGGGGTGAGGAAGCTAAGTCTCCTTTTACATTTGAGATCTGTACTCAAATATAAAATATCAACATGAAATTTTGAAATAAGAATGCATACTTAAATTTACACAAAAAAATCTGAAAGACTCCAGTGGTATAGTTTGTGTTCTAGAGCCTTATTTTTTTTAATTTGCATTGCAGATTTAAAGTTGTATTCCTTATGAGAAATTGTAATGCAGGCATGAACAATCCCCCTGAATTTTGACAGCCTTGCCTTCTTGAAATCTGAGTATTATAAGATGCCAAGTGTTTGCCTTTAAGTGTTTTCATATGGACAAGCACCTGGTTTATAAAAGAAGCTCTGTTCTTTTACCTAACTTCATTTACATAGGTCACTGACAAAACATCTCTCTGATTGTTACGGAATGGAGTATTAAGATGTAAGAAATATCACTAGTAATGAAGCAATGAGATTATTTCAACTTGTTTTTAAGTAATTCCTGTATGCAAGTCAGAGCTTGTTTTATCTATTCTGCCCTTATCTTCCTTCTAAGTATAAATACAAGTAGTTTGTATCTGCATAGATTATGTCTTTATCTGTCCACTTGCTCCATAGCAAGTTGGTACTCTTAATAAGGACTTTCTAAGCATAGTCTATAAACGAATAAACCTCATTTCTGCCACATGATCAGCAGAGAAGCAATGCTTTGGAAATGGAATAAGAAAACACTCGTTGTTTGGATTAATGCTAAATGATGCTTCCTAATGTCTCCTTGGACCAAACAATGATCATTTCTACTTCTTTACTGTTCACACACTGTTGGAGAAATGATTAAATATTCTTTCCAGATAGAGATTGTGTTCCCTGCTTCCTTATCTCCTACAGGCAGAGGCCTGATTTAACTAGCTGATTAGTATGCAGGTCACGGTGTAACTAGTAAAATTTTATTATGACTCTGAAGTGAAATTTTGATGGCACAATTCATGACTGTGAATATTTTTGCAAATTCCAAGTGAAAGGAGCAACACAAACCGAAACAATAGGAGATTAGATTCACTGAGCTTGTATAATAAATAGATATCAATAAACGCCTGTAGAATTTACAGGTTGATCTGGAGTGTAGGGCGGGGGTGGTGGTGGATCTCATTAAGACGCCCAAATGGGCTTAAATGCACACAACATTTATTTATTAGTATTTCCTCATTTGTTCTGCTCTTGGGATCATTAATGAGTAACATTTATCTTTGTCATTTCTTAACAGCCGCTGGACTTTGAGACCAAAAAATCCTATACACTGAAGGTCGAGGCAGCCAATGTCCATATTGATCCACGATTCAGTGGTAGGGGACCCTTTAAAGATACGGCCACTGTGAAGATTGTGGTTGAAGACGCTGATGAGCCTCCTGTCTTCTCTTCACCAACTTACCTCCTCGAAGTTCATGAAAATGCTGCTCTGAACTCTGTGATCGGTCAAGTGACTGCTCGTGACCCTGATATCACTTCCAGCCCTATAAGGTATTTCTCTTTTAAACTAAATACTGTCTCAAATGGCAAATGAATCAGTAGAAAATGACATTACATATTCATTGTATGTAATGTATGTAATACATACGCATTGTATAAGCTTTCCTTTGGGAATACACACTCACACACACACGTGTGTGTGTGTGTGTGTGTGTGTGTGTGTGTGTGTGTGTGTGTGTGTGTGTACACATGAATATGGCTGCCTTCTAAAAGCTAAATTCAATGTATGGATCCAAGAACATTAACACAAACTTAGTTATTATAGTTCTTGAAAAGCTTAACAAAGATAAGCAATTACAGGGGCTTTTCAACACATTTGTGTGGGGCCTTTATTATTATTATTTTTTGGGTCATGTCATGGGTCTTGAACTCTGGGCCTAGACGCTGTCCCTCAGCTCTTCAGCTCAAGGCTAGTGCTCTACCACTTGAGCCACAGCGCCACTTCTGGGTTTTTTCTTTTTGTTTATGTGGTGCTGAGGAATCGAACCCAGGGCCTCAGGCATGCAAGGCAAGCACTCTACCACTGAGCCACCTTCCCAGCCTGACCTTTGTATTTTTTACGTTATTATTTTTCAGTACTAAAAAAGGAGGCATTGCCTGTTTGTATTCTGTCTCCTTTGAAAGTTGCAATGAAATATATATTAGAACATGGACACATGAGACCTCTGTGTCAATGCATTTATAGCTTCCTATCTTATTTCTGGACTTGCTATCTGGCTTTGAAATCATCTTCTTTTCAGTTCATCAGCATTCTGATAGGTCAGCATATTTGGTCTGATATGTCTTAGACAAAAACACTTTCAGTGTCATTTGAAAAATACCTTTTGTTTGTAGTTTTCATGTTCAGAGATTTTCCAAGGATGAGAAATAATACTTTATTAAATTTTTCTGCTTGATTTAGAAATGAGACTCTCATTTTATTTTATTTATTTTTTTGTCAGTCATGGGGCTTGAACTCTGGGCCTACGCACTGTCCCTCAGTTCTTCAGTTCAAGGCTAGTGCTCTACCACTTGAGTCACAGCACCACTTCCAGTTTCCTGGTGGTTTATCGAAGATAAGAGTCTTATGGATTTCAGTGCCTGTGCTGGCTTTGAATCGTGATCCTCACATCTCAGCCTCCTGAGTAGTTAGGATTACAGGTGTGAGCCACTAGTGCCCAGCTTCCAGTTCTATTTGTTTTTATGTGAACTGTACACATTCCCCTTACCCTTTTAGCAGTCATAGCTTATATAGCTATGTTCTGAAAACAAACTGAAAATCTGTATCTTGTTTGCCAGTCCCCAAAAGTGACATGTTGGCTAATGATATATTTGAGTGTGGCTGTCAAGTATTTACTTAGATACAGTGAAAATAGGGGTTATACGGTGGGGGAGGAACATACAAAGCAACAAAAAAAAATCACATGGTACATTATAAATACGTTAGAAGCAATAGCAAGAAAGAAAAAAAGATATTTGTGTTCCTATCTTGAGGTTCATTTTACTTAGCGTCAACTTATATGGTCATATGTACATGGTTTTTGGCCTTTTCTGCTTGTCCTAAACATGTACTAGTTATTGCAAATAAGGGATACCATGGGACCTATGTTTCTTTGGGCCTGGCTTACTTCACTTAATATAATTTTTTCCAAGTCTTTCCATTTTACTGTATTTGATATCAGTGCCCTGCATCTTGTATATACATTTGTCTAATTTGGGGAGGGGAAGGATAAAAAACAAAATGCTTACATAAAAATCAAGTTGACTCATTGTAACAATGAGATGTACAAAACACTATGTTGAAAACGAACTTTACAACTTCGGCATGGGCGGAGGGGTGTGTAATTGTGGAGGTGGGAGGGAAGGGATGGTAGAGGAAAACAAAGGAGGAGGCAACAATGCTCAATAGGAAATGTACTCATTACCTTGTTAATTTAACTGTAACCTCTGTACAGCATTTTAAAAATAAATAAATGTAAAAAATATTTACATACAAATATTTGGACAACAAGGAGATGTAGGGAGAAAGGGGAAAGAAGGGGAAGAGGGAGAAGGAGAAAAAGAAGTAAAAATAAACTCAGTGGAAGAATACATTTGAAAGGATTGTTCAGTCAATGTGAACTTTGCACACATGCAGTGTCTAAATATGAGCACACACAAAACACATTCTATTTCCAGGTCACATATATCTAGTGAAGGCACCTTTTCAAGTATTTTATTCAAGAAAATTCTAGCAGAAAAATTATCTGGAAGTTTTATTCACACTTTAAATTATCTGTAAGTTGTTAATACAAAGAGATTTTAGTTCAGCATGCCAGTTTGAGTACAATGCATTCCCTCCTTCATCTCCTCCATCTATCCCAAACCTATCCATCTGTACATTGAGTATGATTGTATTATTTATTATTATTTTTAAATATACTAACTCACCAACACTCTCGAGTGCTAAAACATTGTGGCTGAGAATAAAATCCTGCAGACCAGAAATGTTCTCTTCTATTTAACATAATCTACTCTTAATTTTAAGAGTATAATAAATTACAGTGTATCTCATGAGGGCACAAAGAAAGTTGTCTCAAAAAAAAGAAAGAAAGAAAAGATGGAAGGAAAGAAGGAAGGAAGGAAGGAAGAAAGAAAGAAAGAAAGAAAGAAAGAAGGAAGGAAGGAAAGAAAGAAAGAATAATTCTTCACCTCAGGGATTGAGGCATGGTCTATCAGACATTTGCACTTCTAAAGAAACCCAGCAAACTATAAATCTACAGAATATCCCTTACTTGCGTAAGATAACTATATCCATGAGAGGTTAAGTGTTAAATGGAAGGCAGAAGGTGTCCAGAAAATTAAACTGACACAGACATCCACCCTCTCACTGTGTTGTCAGACTTATGCAATGGTTTTCTACTAGAAGGCATACATAAATAGGGACAGAGGCATTTGTTGAATGAACAAATGAGTCTTGTTTCCATGCTTTTCCATTTTTGTGAAAGGAAAACTTGTCACAATCTTCACACCTCCCGGCATGAACAGAATGTGAAGGAGTGAGATTGGTAGAACAGAGAAACTGCTTATAGGGTTAGTAGTCAATCCTTGCCTTGACAAGATTTCTACTCTTGAGGGCAAAGAGCCCACAGACTTAGGCCGAACTAAGGAGCCTGAGGAGTTGTATTAGGGCAATCTCCCACACAACTTCAAACAGTATGTGTTTGCACCAGTGAGAATGCCCTTGTTCTGCAGAGGTACTTTGTTCATCAGCTAGAGAAGAGGTTGAAGAGGTTTTTCGTGACAAAATGAAAGTGACCTTGAATTGGGAGAGCTGAGTTTAAATCCTGGCTCATAAATCCCCACTTCCATTTGCCCATTCTCTAATCTATCCATTCTCCTGGTGCCTCACGGAGACTCACTGACAATAATACCAGTCCTCAGGGAATCAAGGAGTGTTTCTCGAGGTAATTGATTATTACTGTTGCTGCTTACTGTCACTGTTTGCAAAGTTTGGTGTCCAGGAGGCTAGGGGCTATTCAGCAACAACAGCCATCCAGCTTTGAAAACATGTCATTTTCAGGCAAGGTAAAGAGATCGGAGGCTGAGTTATTCATCAGAGATGGACAGGTAAAGTACAATTTGATGGCACAGACATATCTGTGTATCTGATAGATGTCAGGCAAGAACCAGTTCCTAGACATCCATGGTCCCATCCCAAGAAGGGAGGAAGACTCTTTCAAAGCATTTACAATGGATTTTTTTGGATTTTTTTAATAAGTTTTTTTTTAATTGTGAAAATACTGTACAGAGGGGTTACAGTTATATGAGCAAGGTAATGAGTGCATTTTTTTAATTTAGTTTTTTTTGTGAACATACTGTACAGAGGGGTTACAATTACATGGGCAGGATAATGTGTACATTTCTTATCAAGCATTGCAGTCTCCTCCTTTGTTTACCCTTCACATCCCTTCCCTACCCTCCTACCACCCAATCCTCCCCCCCTCTCCCTCCCCCCCTCCCCCGCACCAAGGTTGTAAAGCTCGTTTTTGTCAAACATTGTTGCCTCCCACACTATCCTGACCAGAGTTGGCTTAGCTCCAGGAAACAAGAATGTCAGAAGCCTCCACTGAACTTTGCATCAGTTCTATATGTGGACAGCCCCCCTCCTCGGCTAGCTGGCTTGTGGAGAGCAGCTTTCTTTCCTCTGTCTCTGTACTATTGGTTAATTTTGAGTAGAAAATTAAATTTTCTGACTAGCCAGAGCAGTGAATAGTTCCTTATGAGTCTCTCAGGCAAGTGTAGAGTGATGGGTTTCCTTTTTTTTAGGACTAGCTTATTTTGTATGCTGACTAGAAAGGTATCCATCATTCCTGATACGATCTGTTTCACCATCCAGCAAAAAAGAAGCCATTGTAGTGGCATGCAACATGGTAAAAACATGCAGTTATTTGCTGGTGGGACAACTTCTTATGAAACTTCTTCATATAACACATTGCCTTGCTTGAAACACCATGTATTTTAGAAGTACTGTAAGATGCTCTGTGTCTGATCCTTATCTATGGCTCTGTATAGAGAAAATAGAGACCAATAGAACTATTCATGATCTTACCTTTTGTCTTCCAGACAGAAACATTCGGTATTAGGCATTATTCATCTCATGCTGTAACATAACATATGTCTATCAGTGATATAGACTAGAATTAGGCAAATTAGTTAAAGGGAAACCCATTTTGAACTTAGGCAGAATATGTTTCATATCATGCCCTGTTTGGTTCCCAATAAGATTGTCAGTCTCTGGAGTTCTCTGAGACTGGGTTTGGTCTTCAGTATGGGATAATATATCTTCCTCTCAGGGCTACTGGCATGATTAAATGAACTTACTGAATAATATGTTGTCTCTGTTGGAATTACCAGTTAATTAAAGGTAAGCCACCACCAGTTTCTTATTTGAAATGCAAATTAAAATGAGTACTTCCTTTTGTCTGAGATTCATCTTTTAAAGGTGGCTAACTGTATGCACAGAATGATCT